GCTCCTGGCTTCAATACCATCTTGAAACCTTTCCAACCAGCGCGGCCGCAAAACTAGTCGGCTACATCGACAGACGAGCGTTGCCCGCTAACGTCACGTGCTGCCCAACGCCCGGACTGAGGACCAGCTAGTGCCACAAGCCACCAGCATCTGCTGTTCACTTTCTACTGCTTCTACCACCAGACTTTTCAGGGCCCTCAAGTGCCGAGACTCTCACACGGGGCTAGCGTGACACACACTCGAGGGGGGGGGGGGAGGGGGCACTTCAGGGCCACTCCACCGGGATCTACAAACTGCTACCGCCAGACTTTCCAACACCCCGTTCTTGGTGTCCGCGGACGCTACGTTCGCCGCTGTCTTTGAATGATATGGTCCCCGGGTTCTGCGTCATCCAGGAGGATTCTGCAATCAAATGCTCTCCACCAATCAAGCAAACTTGGCGTGTGAGCCACGATGCGCTACGTTAGGTAATGGGCCACGTTACATCAGCATCAAGAGAGCCGACTTCGAATCGCCTCGAGCTCGCCGCATTGTGTCGGGTCCGCCGCGGTGGCTGCTTCTCAGCGACCGTAGCCACTTTAGAGGTAAGACGTAATGCATGACATCATGTCAAAACTATGCTACCACGCCATGCTCCGGTATTACCGCGGCGACCGCAGGCACCGCGAACAAGGCCCAGTTCAAGGGCGGCTAGTAAGCTCCACTGGCAGAGCTGCTGCCATCTGCAGATAGGAGTGACGCGCCATCTCGCGGCCGGCCGAAGCCGTCGGCTGGGCCGCAGCTACCATCCGACGGCCGGATCGGTACACCACCCCAGAGGCTGGCGATCACCGCCGTCTGCAGACAAGACTGCCAGCAGCCAATGCCGCCGCCCACCGTCATCAGCTGGGGACTTCCGATATGGGGGAGTGACAGCGACCTACCTGAGGTCGTGCCGGCGGCCCGCGCGGTCACGGTCGCCCCGCACTGATGCGAGAGCGTACACTTGTGTGTTCAACGAACGTGATGCGTTGCGGGCGTCGTCATCGGCATTGGGGCTTTAAGATGAACCCAGCTGCTGAGGTTATATGGCGTCACCTGCGTCCCAACCTGGCAGGAAGAGCGGGCACCGCGGGGAATCACATCCCGTACCTCCGGTTTCCCAGACGCGCAGTGGTAAACACAGACGCGTTAGCCACTGCACCACCAGCACCCAAACTACGCTACGGCCGGGGAACGGATGAAGGTGAGGCTGCGGGAAGGATGTCGTCCCGTTTCCGACTTAGCAGCTATGGCGATCCCGTACAGTCGGCGTGACCAGGTCAAGGCCAGATTGATGATCCCACAACACTAGACATCATCACAGCCACATCCATGGCGCCAGTACATCATGCACTGGCGCCATGACACGACGTGTTATGTACCGGGGCGTCACTTTGGCGCTCTCGGAGGTCTCCAGCCCCGACAATGCTAACATGAGCCCCCTTCATGCTCTTCGGGGCCTCCCAATGCATATTAGCAAAAAGGAACGCTATACCAATGAAATGCAGTAAATTTATCTGAGCTGCTGATACGTTGGGCATCTAAACATACCATCGTTAATGCCATGCTTATCTTGAACCAAACAGTACCCTGTGCGTGCGTTGTGTAATCTCCATGGCAACTTCCCGTTTGTAAGGACAGTCTGCAAACGCTGGCGGGTATTGATATAATGAGATCACATTGGTGGATCAGGAATATGGAGAACACTATACGGCAACACCTTAAAGTACAGGATGAACCTGATAAAGTTGGCTAGCGTTTTCTTCAACAATAGCAATGGTATTCATCGCACGGTCGTGACTATGGTGGCATTCGACTGCCAATTCAATGGCAAAATACAAGCAGCGACAGCGGTAGTCAGAGCTTCCGCATCTGTCAAGTAGCTACTACAAGTTAAAACATACTCCAGATGGCCACCTGGCCGTCCAGGATGCGCAACAGCCGAACCTGCCGCAGGTGATCAGCTTTCTTGGCGATCCTGTCGACGATGATGCGTCCCATCACAAGTCTGAAGTCCGTGTTGAGCTTTCGAAGGTTCGCTGGCTTGTCCATGTGGACGTGGTTCTTTAGGTTAACTCAAAGCACGCAGTACGAGGGCAACAGGTCGGGCGAGTGCAGCGCGACTTCACGGCAGACTCAGGGTTCATCGTCAGATGATGTCTTGGTCACCGGCCATCACCGCAGCTCCAGCATGACAGTATGGACGGCCAGCACCGCCGAAGCGCCACGCTCGGTCCGCCCACACCCAGGGCTCTGCTCAGCCTGCCCTGGCGGCGGGCGGCGGGCGCCCCGTCAGTGGTCACCACGGCGCCCTCAGGCGATACAAGGCGCGCTGGGGTACAGTACAGGCCGGCGTTACCACGGAGATGGCACACCTTGACCAACTGGTTTTTCAACATCTGAGGGCCGTTGGATCGTTATGTGGCCCTTGATTGTTTTGGGCATCTTCACCATTTAGGAATGCCCTTGGCTGACTTCCTACCTTTGTAGGCCCTTTGATTATCCCGTGGCCCTTAAACCTTGCTTGTTTGGAGCCTGCATTGTATCGTATTGCATTGCACTTTATGAGGTCCTTCCACATTATTGGGCTATTCTTGGGCCCTCACTAAAAGGTACATCGACAGTCGCAAGGCGACAAACATAGCACCTCACGAGTAGACATATGAAAGCGGTTAAAAGTGTCAGGTACTTTGAATAATGTCCCTTAACGACGGTCTTAAACGTAGAAAAGGCAAGTCCGCAGTGTCGTTGCTGGTAAAACCCGCGTACATAAGCGCACTTCGATAGGTACATGCTCGATTTCCGTGTTGTTCTCAGGGCGTGAGTGATATATGAAATGACTAGACTGACGCGTTCTGCGCTCGGTGTTTTCAGGTTGTAGGAGAGCTTAAAGCGTAAAGTCTCTGGCTCCCCGTTTGCCAATACTCTGTACAAAATTCAAATATCGAAGAAGTTAATGAGCTTTTGGGCGCTGAGTCGGTTAAGCCGTCGTGGGATATAAAACACATGACGAAATTTACGTCGTCCGGGGATCACCCCAGCTACGAAGTTAAGCGCTTTCTGCGATGTCACAAAAGTCGTGCTGTTCGCGCCCCCATAACTTAAACACAATAACAAACATAGGAGAACACAAGAGCGTCAATGATGCGTGACAGAACATTGGCAATTAACACGTGTTGGCATTTAGGAGAGCGACAATAAAGTCGTCTAAGTGCCTCACCTGCTGCCGCCCTGTACCCCTTGCATTGTGTATTTCGAGTTATCGGGCATTGAAGACCCATTTGTGCGATTTTTCAGAGAGGTAGGCGCAAATAAATATTTGTCATCGAAAGGCCAGTTTAGCGCACCGCACGAGTACAACATGTCTTGCGTGGCGTGAGTTAACACCACACGTTGTTGATTTGTCGCATTATGTGTGACGAAGTTAAGTGCTTGGTTATATCAACATTCATTCATGTACATTGGAAGCGGAGCAGCGCTTCAGAAGGAGCGGATGCTACCACCAACTTTGAAGAAGACTTTTTACCATGCGCCGCCATATGGTTAATACTCAGTATTCTTGGAAATTGAGGGTGACTCCGTGAACGGAGTCCCCGCTCCTACGCCCATGATGCACATATTGATGATATTATGTTTAATCCATTTGATAAGGGGTACGAGCCCTCGGTTCCCACTACGTGAATATGACCTTGTCGTCTTCCCAGGAATATTTTATCGGCTCAGCGGACCCTCGGCCGTTTTTTTTTTAGCTTTTGGCGACCACGTTTACATTCTGAGACTAGAAACGAACAGTTGATCTTGGACAGGGGCAAAGTTTTACAAAGCAAGGGGGCTAAGTAATGGAAAATGACGAAACTCCCCCAAATGCACCTCCAGACGGATGTCTCTTCGGATTTGGCCCACTTTCGTCTTAGGGTTGGGAGTGCTGGAGCACTCCCTCCGCCCCCAAATAGAATAGGAAACTACACACCTAACCTTGGGCACAAATTCTGAAGAAAACTATGTTTGTCACTGACAAAAAGGCTCCAGGAGCTCATACCCCTTTCGAAGGTTTTTTCTGAGTCTGTTAGCTTACAATCGCCGATATCAGCTCTAACAAGCTCCTGCGGCAGCGTGGACCGCCGTCGCCGGTCACACGCCTGGCCCGGCGCGGAGCGTAGCGGGCGTGGGGGGGAGCGCGTGCGCGCCGCCCCCAGCCCTGAGGCTCCGACGGGGAGCCGGCAGCCGCCGCAGCCAGTCCGGCGGCCGGCGTCAGCCGCAAAGGGCGTCCGTGCCAGGGGGGCGGCCGTGCCGAAGGCGCCACAGCAGCCCCTAGCTGACGACCAGCGGAGGCGAAGGTTGGAGACGCCGAGTCGCGCTGGCCGGCACGTGGGGTCGCTGCTGCACTTACGGCAGTGATCACAGTCAGGAGCCACCGCCGGTTGAAGTGACGAGAGCGGACCGCAGTACAGTCATCGCGGCGAAGACCTTCATCCGGGCTATACCGTCCTGAAGGACTTCACGGTGAACACTTACCACGTGGCGTACCCTCGCGAAGGATCGTCCTCACGGACGGGCGGCGCAGTTGGTGGAAAATACTGGCACGTAAACTTGGTTCAGTAGCGCTGATGTGAGCAGAAGATAATTTTTGCGGCATAAGAGCCGCGGTAAAGTGAATGAAAACTCGTCAGACGGTGCTACACAGGTGCTTTACAGCGTTTTCCTGGCGCGGGCTAATGAAGCCGTCCGACGAAAGAGCTGTGGGGAAGCTGTAGCTTTTACGATGACCAGGTAAAGACAGTCTGATGTTTATTACGACTTGACTGAAGACCTGTACAGTCTAAGCAGCTGTATTGTTAACAAGAGTCGACAAATGTCCACTGGACGGCTGTCGCAGACCTGCCCTCAGCTGCGACCGTCTGCTTTGAGGAGCCTCTCTGCAGTTGAGCGACCGTAGCCGGCGGCTTTCCTCGGTGCGCGCCACGGCCGCCATGCTCGTCATGTTGTGTCTGCTGGCCCTGCCCACGCGCTGCCCCGCCGCCGCTCATCAGGCGCTGGTGGACGTCATCCAACAGCACACGGGCGAGTGCTCCGTGCTCACCTTCTCCAACGTGGACATGGCGCCAACGATCCGGGAGCTCAACCGGCACCGAGTCAGCGCCATGAACTTCAAGTTCGTGTCAGAACTGGTCTCCGGCGAGCTGCCGAGGGTGTCGCCGCCCGACACCAGCTACTACGCTGAGGTGCTGCGGCTGTCCTGTCTCGTGCACGTGTTCTGGGGCAACATCTCCTCGCTACTGGGCGACTCGCTGCGCGCCATCGAGCGCCAGAAGACGGTAGTCATCCGACGCGAGTACTTCCTGTTGCACGACACGACGGCCGTTGCGCCGCCGGCCGCGCTCTTCGCGCCGCTCGGCGACCGGCCCCACGTGGCCGTGTTCAGCGACGCCGGCCAGGACGTGAGCCTGCACGTACGCTGTCTGTACTGCGACGGCGGCGGGGCACGTCTGTACGAGGCCGGGCGCTGGACGCCGGCCGAGGGCCTCCGGCTGAGCTCGCCGCTCTTCTTCGACCAGTTCGCCGACTTCAGCGGCCACCGGCTGACGTGCGTCACGCTGCCGTTCGTGCCGTTCGTCGACGTCGGCGAGCTGCCGGACGGCCGCCTCGTGTCGCGGCCGTCGATCGACATTAACGCGCTGGAGATGACGGCGCGCAAGTGGAACTTCACCTATGACCTGCGCAAGCCGTCCGACTCGCAGTGGGGGTGAGTCTGCTGCCGGGGCGGCGACGCGACGCGCCGCCTTCGCAGTTTCGTACACGCTGGGAACTCACGAGGGGTCTTAAACGGCGACAAATGCAAGGGCGACACTTTGAACACCTTGGAAGGTGGAAGGTGGGCAGCCCAGTATTTGTGGGGTCTCAATCGCTAGGAGGCGTCTCCGGCTGAAAGGCTTCCCCAACGCATTATACAGCCTTGTCTTCCGAGTTTCTATTATACCAGTACAATCCCAACGCTCGGACAGCTTTATGAAGCCATCTAGCGCGCCTGCATTACTGATCACCATTTAACTGGGGAACCTCCTCTCCATCGCAAAAAGGATCTGCTCTGTGTCGCACTGTCGCGACGACTGCCTGCTGCTGGCCATGAAAGGGTCTCCTCTTAGCCCGAAGAAGGCGTCCTCTCTGGCCGTCTCATGGACGTACCATCGTCACGAGTGGCTCCTGCCGCACTGTGAACCACAGCCGTCCAGAATGTGTAGATAGCGCCTCCCCCGGGGCTATGTCATGTGCAGCACAGCCTTCTCGTCCTCTTCTCTGTCATGCTATTAGCCGCTCCTTCTGACTTCCGCTGAGCCCCTGACCTGACCCCGTAGCGTGACCATTAGGTGGGAGAAGGAGAGGGAGGAGGCGGGGGCGTCCGCCTCTAAGGCGAGGGATCCTGTCGGCTGCGCCATATTGCGGTGGCCACTTCTGGTCTGCTGAACCGCGCCACGGAAACGAGTGCCTGTGTGCGGATGTCGCCTCTGCATTCCTTAACGACTCCGACGCTGGCTGGCCCCCTGCCAGCCGCGCGGGGACGCCGTCGGAGGTCCCAGATTACACAGTCTCCCACATGAGCCGGTGCGAGCGTGCCCGCTTTATAAAAGTCCGGCCCCCCCATGCAGCTCAGGCGTCATATGTCAGTCTGTAACCCGCAAAAGAGGTCCCAAACATGGATAGCCTGCTGCTGGTGGCAGCGACCGCGCTTAAGGTCAGATGATGTCAGATGGTAGGACGGAGATTGCCGAGGAACACGGCACGTTAAGCTTTCGCCGTACAATTCCGCTGTTGACCCGGAATCTCATGATGGGAGGGTGGTTTCAGGGTTCATGCAACAAGCACTGCTTAGCGTGGGCGCTGATTCCAAAAATCCGTCCGATCAAAATGTTCAGGCTAAATGTTATGAGCTTATCTTTTACGTTTCTAGGGTAAACACGTTGTTGCCGAAAAGGGAGTGCGCACGCACAAAACGTGAAACACCGCAACGATCAAACGCATCACTGAAACCCCGGATTCATAGCGTTCATAGCGCGAAATAGCCTCAGTAGCCGATGCGCTCACATCCCCCCCCCCCCCCCCTGCTGAAAATCCATACAGATCGCAACAGCGTTGACAAGTGGTTGCTGCAAAAATAGGGGGATGACACCGCCAGTTTAACGAGCACGGCTTCCTTTCAGCTTTTGGAATGATAAAAACTCTCCAGCCGCAGTGGGCGTTTGAAGGCTAGCATTCGAAAGATCAGACAGTAGGATAAGCCTTATTCCATAAATAAAAACCGGGAAAATGAAGATATAGTTGGAATGATATTTCGGCAACATGCCTTTATCGAAACAATAGCGGAACTGAATATCTTACATTCACTTCTGTATATATACACACACACACATATATATATACATGTATATATATATATATATATATATATATATATATATATATATGTATATGTTTATATATATATATATATATATTTACGTAGATGAATTTTTAAAAATATATATATATATATCTATCTATCTATCTATCTATCTATATATATATTTATATATATCTATATATATCTATATATATATATATATATATATGTGAATATATTATATTCACTTCTATTGTTTTGATAAACGCATGTTGCCGAAATATCAACCTATCTAAATCTCCATTCTCCTGGTTTTGTCCGAAGAATAAGGCTATTACTACTGTCTGATCCATGCGAACAAGGTTCCTCGCAAATGCACTGAGCAAACCTCGGTTGATCGTGTTGAATTCTGCACAGCGTATTTGCGCTCAACACCATAGCTGTCGAACTATTTGATTAACTATTTGGGTACTGCCAACCTGCGCCGCGTCGCTGTGCATTTGGCTCATAAGACGCTCTGTGGCCATTCAGAAATAAACAAGGGAATTTACATGTGTGAAAAGACACGACGAATTACCGTGTTCGTTTTTGTCGCGGTAGGTTCGCCAACGCCAGCACTATTTTAGCCTCATAAGTTGTTTACGGTCAGGGCAATAAAACACGTCATATGAGAACAACAAGAGCATCGTTTTGAAGGTCTCTTCAAATGATAAAGAATGCGCCCCAAATTTTTTGTCTTAGGTCAAATGTGAAGTCACCAGAGATCACATTAGATCAAAAGCAGTCGTTCAGATAGATGCAGTTAGAACCTATGTTAACACGTTAAGACGGATATTGAGGGCACGGCGATAAGCGTTAAGACTGTGGGTAGTCAATTCCAACCTTTTCTGCTCCCACACATCGGTCAAGTTAGATCAGGTCACCGTTCAAAACTGGTATACCACAAACCTTCAAGACCGATACTTTTTTACATTGTGCTTCTGATTAAGTTTATTCTATCAGGCGCTGCTGTGGGACAACAGTATTCCAGACACAAAAATACAATTTTAGGCTGACCTAGAGGTTATCTGACGTCAAGCTATGCCAAATTTACAGTTTATCCAACTTAAAAACTGAACAGCAAATCTGGTCCATGTGACCACAAAAACGCTTTTCTGTGGTCAGAAACAGTGTACAGATATTCAGGATCGCCAGGAGCCAAGGCCTGCTGTGGAGTATTCGAAGTCTGTGTTCAAAATTGCCTGATGAAATTGCCTATTTTGAGCCCAACATGTGTTTTCCAGAAGGCACCCATAGAGATTGGTCATGATCTGGGCCGAGGTCATGTGCTCTGTGGTCATATGGTGATTGTGCATGTAAGGTAGCACTTTTTTGTCATACACAAACACCGAAACCACACAAAATACGTGTCAATTTGCATTATTTACGAAAAATAGGAAAAATTCATTCGCCTTCAGGTCACTGACCTGGCATATCCAAAGATCTAAGCAATACAAACTGTAGCTGCTATCGTTTTATATTACAACAAGTTTGAAAATGACAGATGACCCTCAGAAAATTGCGTGGACAAAGGTTGTAGAAGGTTGGCCTCTTTGACCTAATCTACGCCACTTGTCTTGGCAGGTCAAATCTTCAAGCCGGCGCGAAGGATGCCAAATTGATAGATTAAGACGTACTACAAATTTCGTGTAGCTGTGAGCGCTCGTTTTTTAGCATGTGCTCGAAAAACCATGGGGGGGGGGGGGAAGTCAACTCCCCGGTCGGCTGCGGGCTGATGTTTTATGGTCGAGCACATTAATTATTCCGGGTTATTGAACCAGGTGGAGCGTAGTCCAAAACCTCGGAGGCATCAGAGAGCGAGGCCATAACACGATTGGGTTGAGACTGCAGCGTACGAGTAGCACAACGTGCTTTAAAAAGCGTGAACTACGAAAGATGAGCGGAGAGGAGCGTCTCCATGTTTGTCAGGACAAGCGCTTGAATAGGTAAAGATTCTTGAAGGCGAACAAGATGAGAATGGCGAACAAGGTGGGAGCGGCCTAATTTGTATGCATAATTTTTTGAGTTTGACGATTTGCAAATTGCTGCCGACATGCACCGGGCAGAGTAATAAGGCAGCAAAATTTCACAAAACCTGTTACAACTGCATTTGTTATGCAGAACCTTCATAACCTCCCTCTCACTATGAATCCCAGTGCCAATTAGAGGAATATGTAGCGTTATTTTGTTTCAGAAGTCATTTTGTTTTTTGTTTTGATAGCTACGTGCTGACCTGAGCGAAACGTGCTACCTTGATGGGGACGTGGTTGCTTTTTACTACAATTTAACACATGATGCTTCAGCTTGACCATACTTTCCTTAAGTCTTATCAAAATAACTTTTCGAGGAGGATGTATCTGTCTGTCTGCAGCCCCTGTCCACTCGCAGGGTCTAATCAGGTACCCTAGTGACAAGTCAAGGTACGGTTTCTACAGGTGTTCGGAGGCAGACACTGCACCCGGCTGCTCCCCCCCCCCCTCAACGACCGTCGCATGACCCGCACGGCTCCGAGCCAGTGCCGCGGAAATACGACGCCTGACCAGCTGTGCTCCTCGTGTGGAGTCTTCAGGAGGCATCCGCAGGATCAAAAATTAGGACAAAAGCCGCGTGATGGCAGGCTGCCCGACTGTGCTGCAGGGCAGCCCCTCAGTGGCCAGGATCCCTTCCTCGCTATCTGCGGAACTAGCAGGGCGCGGCGAAACACGGGTAGGGCCGGAAAGCTGGGGCCGTGGGGTTGCTAATCCCTACTCTGAACGAGTCACAGCCCTTGCGGGGGGTACGTTTGGTCTGGTTCCTCCCCTTTGGCCGGAGAGGTGCTTCACAAGCCTTCCCAACCGCCCGCAGGGTCGTTAGAGCACAAAATCCCACAACCACGGAAGGGTTGTGCCTCACGGAGGTGGGGTGGGGGTGGGGTGGGGAGTATTAATCGTTCTGCACACTCTTCCGTTCACACAGCAGGCTCAGCTAAAGGTTCACAAATACCTTTTTCGCGACGTCAAAATGCCACTGACCGATCGCCCAGTCCGCACCGCCGAGTAACTCAAGTAAAACGTGGGAAAGCACACGTGCTGTGATCGCCGACGGTCATCGATATTTTATTCGTCTTCCGTTCATTTCTTCGGAAGGGTGGAATAGCTGAGCCACGGTAACAAATGCGTGCATCGTCGCAGCCATCTGCAGGTCATCACAGTGATCATGCAAGGTGACAACTGGATGATGATGTGATATTACAGGACAATCCCATGCCTTTATTTACGTAGATGAATTTTTAAAAATCTACATGGATAGAGTGAGTAATAAACAAGGTTGGTATTTGTTTGTTTTTTTCT